CCCCAAAAGGTATGTTTAACCATTGTTACCTGGGAATGTGACCTTATTAGAAAGCAGGGTCCTTCCAGTTGTAACCAGGCTGAGGACACACTGGATTAGGGCGGAGCCTAATTCAATGATTGGTGTCTTCTAAAAAGAGGGAAATGCAGAGAGACACGGGGGAGAAAGCCATGTGGAGACAGAAGAAGAGATGGGAGGGAGACATGTACAGGCCAAGGAGCACCAAGGGTGGGTGGTGAGTTCCAGAAGCCAGCAGAAGGCAAGGGAGAATCCTCCTAGAGACTTCAGGGGCAACAGGGCCCCGCGGATCCCTTGATTTCAGAAGTCGAACCTCCAGAGCTGTGAAAAAATAAATTTTTGTTGCTTGAAGGCACCCAGTTTTTGCTAATTTATTATGGCAGCTCCAGGAATCAAATACACCTCCTTTAAACACACGAAGAGGCTGTGGCTCAGAGGGGCTAGGTGACATGCATGTCACCCAGCTGGTGGCTTAGCTGACTGTCCCATGCCCCAGGGTTATACCTTGCAGACAACTCAGTGGATAACTGCTGAGGGTCTCCCACTACCACCTCTTTAGCTAGTGTGGGGGGATGGAAACGGGGTTGTCAACAAAGCACTTGGGCAGAGTTTCCAGGCTTTTGCCCCCATCTGTGCCCTTGGCCCTGAGTTGACTAAGTTCCTGGATTCCAGGCACCTGCTCAGGCCTGTCTGCCCCTCTGTGCAGGCTGTCAGCCGGCCCTCTACCCATCCATCTCAGAATGAGCACAGCCCCTCCCAGACTGTGGGCGTTCCCAGGATGCAGGCTGCGTCTCCAGGGCCCTGCTGGTGCTGGGACCTGGGAGATGCCTACTGAATACACACACACAGGCCTGGAATGCTTTCTTACTTCAGGGAGCAGCTGAGGAGTGAGGAGCCAGAGCCAGTTTAGTGTGGAGCCCCACCCCTGCCATCCCAAACCCGAAGACACAGGAAGTCTTGCCTCTGGCTCACCAGGAGGCCCAGCATGAGGCCGTAGGGAAGTTACTTCACCTCTCCAAGTCTCAGGATCCTTGTCTGCTGGATGGATGTGCTCAAAGGGAACAGCGAGCTGTGATGACAGATCCCAGGGGATGACAGAGAACGCTCTCAGGCTTCTTATCACCAGGCCAGGATCTCCTCCTCCCAAACACACCCATCATTGGGAATTCACTGCAGAGCCCAAGGACCTGCTGCCAGAAAGAACTCCCCAAGCTGAAACCCTGAGTAGACCCTGTGAGCACACAGTGCTCCCTAGTGGTCACAGACAGACCCTGCAATGCCATGTTTTCATGAGAACCTTTCAACCTCAGCTGAGCTCTGAGCTTGCTAACAGGTTCTAATGGCAGCCCTGCCTTTGACAGTAATAGAGAGGAGCATCAGGTCATTTTTGTGCCTCAAGTAGGGGAGTCAGACAAACTTGGCCTTGAAGCCCAGCTGCTACGCCAGCCTGCGTCCCTCTATGGCTGCCAAGGGTGCTGCTCCGGCCCCTCCCATCATGAGGTGGTCATTGGCTGAGCTCACAGATCCTACTGGACACTTCAAGGAGGAGGAGGAACTTCGTAGCTTATGGGCCAAAGACGCAAGCAAGGGCTCACCAAGAGGAACTCACTTTCATAAGGCTGTAGTATCTACTATAGTAGATATCTCATAGCCTGAGGTGGGGTTTACAAGAGAAGCCCCACCAATGGTTAAAAAGGCATTGTTTTCTTCAGAGGTGCATAATTTCTTTTTCATTATGCCCTACAGGAAACCACTCTGTAGAACAATGGACTTTAGGTTTCCTCCCCTTTCTTACTAGAATACACTTTATTTCCTACATTTTACCAGAAGCCCAGGTCGGACAGAAATGGACCTCTTTTCTGTAAGCCTTGCATCATTAGGTATATCAGGAATAGAAACTAATGCAGTCTTAGACAAGACCAGATTTAGGGGGCATTATTATTATTATTTTTAAGAGCAATCATTTCCAGTTTAAGGATTAGGCACGTGGAACTTTTTATTCAAAATTTATCAGACACCATCCACATCCTGGCCATGGGCATGGAGAAGACAATTTAAGCCCAATTCTGAATTCCTTAGCTGTGGTTGCTTTAAATAACCATATAGCCTTGGATTTTCTTTCTGTGGGGTTTCCAAGGTGTTATCAATATGCAAGCAGATTGCTCAATCATCCTTCCGAGGAGTGGCTGGTGAGTTTGAACTGCCAGCCTTCTGGTTAGCAGTCAAATGTCTTAGGCACTCTGCCACCAGAGCTCCCCACAGTGGGGGGGTATATGATATAAATAAGACATGTTGTGCTTGGGTAAATACTTCTGGCAATGTTGAATTAAATTTGAATGCTGTCCATAAAGTTACTGAATGGGCAAAACTAAGGGCCTGGGACTATGGAAGTGGATGGAACTTGTTTGAAAACTTATTCCCCACCCTGAGGTCTTAATCCTCACCCCTTAATTACGTTGGACCTTATAGTAATAATCATATGTGCTTGTGTCCTGTGCTTGATGAAAGTAGCCTCCAATGGAATGTCCCAAACCCTCGAGGTTACTCATATATTTTCTCTCTTTAAGACACCTGATACTAGTGAACTTATACAACAAGAAGTTATTAGTTTTTATCAGATTCCCCCTCTGAGGAATTGACTACTTGTCACCCCTGTACAACAGGCAGTAGCCTAAGAAGGAGACTACCACCCCATTTCCCATGCTTATGAAATCTCGGAAACAGGGGGGACTGTGGGAGGCTGAAGTGGAAGGCCGAAGGGGCCCCTCACTGAAAATTACAGAACTGTAACAGACTAGCAGGCAGGATTAGAGTAGACATTCATCATAGTGACTAACTTGCTATTTTTCCTCCCTTTTGCTTTCTTTTAAGTAAATAGAATAGCCAACTTCATTACAGATGCTGAGTTCTTCAGCTTTGTTATTTTCAATGATGTATTCTTCTAAGCATAACCCTCTGTGACAACTGGTTTTGGCTGAGAACCATAACCTACGAAGCAAGGCAACCCTGAGAAGGGGAATCCTGAGTCTGGAGTAACTGGGGAAGAGAAGAACAAAGACATTCCTGGCCATCCAAGGGATCTTCAACCCTCTGATGGTTATGTTTTTGTGTCAGCTTGGCTGGGCCTGGTTGAGTGGCTGGGCAGCTGGGTGTGGTATTACCCATGATGAGACTGGTCATCAACTCCGTGGTGGAATCCACTGGGAGCAGCTGAGTAGCTGCCTTTGGGATGTGGTCTGCTTCCTGTATTTAAGGAGAAGCTTTGAGAATGGTCTCTAGCCTTTGACACACTTGGACCCTGCATGTAGCCGTGTCATTGCTCAGCAGCCTGCTGTGCTCTGCCAACCTTGGGACTTATAATGGACTTAAGTTAATGGCCTGCCATGTGGTTTGGTAACATTGGGACTGTGCCTTTTTACTTGTCAACCTTGGGGCTTCTCAGCCTCA